TCAGTAAGTTTGGTCATCATTCAACTTTTCGTCCATTTCTCGACTTACACTTCATTCTGACTTTAATTTTTCACTATTTGTATTTTATGCATCTGTCTGTGGAACCTGGTCATTGTTTTGGTAACTAAGGTTTCTTTAAAGTTATTCACTGAGCCACCTGCCCACCTTCGCCAATTACTTTTACTTCTCTTCCTTCTTTCTTGGCCTTTCCCTGTGCAACTTACTTTACTTGTTTTATCTTGTCTAACTCCACATTCTGATTAAAAGTCTGCCATACCTAGTTTAACAGTACCAACGAAGGTAAGAAGAACCACAACTTCGTAGTTAAGGGTGGCAGAGTTGCCTGCATTTTTTTCCTATCAACACCTTCCTCTTGTTGTCAAGTTGACTCAGTGCCTGTTAAGAAAGAAAGAGACTTGAAGGAGGACTGTGGAGATTTTGCCCTTGCCGTGCCGCTGCTGCGCCACCTTTTGTGAGTAGAGTAGTTGAGAGAAGTCGACTTCAAAACCGCAATGGACATCTCCTTTGTACGCCTAGCTGCCCGCCCGCATGTGCTTCACATTCAATTTCTCCCTCCTTTGTCTCTTCTCTTCCATCAAGTCGTCTCCCAATCACACTTGTTTTCCTTCTTCTTCTGCTTCTTACTTACGTCCGCACCTCCACTATTACTCTCATTACAATGGTGCAACCATTTTTGTCATCACTGGTCCTTGCCGCCTGCCTTATAACTGGAGCATCGCTAGCACGATTCATCGCAGCATTCAAGGCAGTAACAGCACCATCATCAGATGGTATTCGTAACATCGCCGTAAGCCGCAGTCTCTGACGGTTCGGTAATGCTGCTATTCATTCCTCAGCTCTGCCCTCATCTAAGTCCTCTGCAATCTGATCTTCTCTTCTCTCCATCGTTCTTCCTCACCCAGTTCCTTAAACTCATTCCTTCACAATGTCTAGCACTTTGATTCAATTCTACATCCTTCTAGCAGAATTGCGATGAGCTTGATTTAAAGAGCAGAATGGGAAATTAAGTAGTAAATAGTGACTGAAATTGACTGTTAACCTTTTAATAAGGTGTTTCTCCTTCCTTATTGTTCATTCCGACTCTGACTGCTTCACGAGTAAATGTTTCTCTACTACTGAGACTCGTTACAGAATAAATCACCTCTTCAGACGTCCCCTCTAGCTTCCATTCCTTCGGATCGCCGAATGTTTTGTGCTGATTTTGTAGATATATCGTTTAGACAATGCTTGAGCTACGAAATCATCGGCGTGTGAGCATTTGCCGTTTAAAGTTACCAATAGTATAGGGATAAAGTAAGTGAAGAACAGCCTAGTGCATTTAATATTGCTGCTGCCATTAGTGAGTGAGTAAGAACCTATTTCACACGTCACCACCTTCATGGTCACGAGGCTCTGTAATTTCCGAAATTGCACCCACCTTGCATGATAATGGTGCGCCAATCTGGGCAAAGGTAACTGGTGTGCATTGTGCCAGAAATTTGTCACACCTAGTTAATTTGGTCTATTGTTAAGCACCCACCAGCCGCCTGCAAGGAGCACACAACCGCGTTTACCTACCGACCGTTAACACTTTATGCCATATTTTAACGTTCTGTAAACAATATTTGCAGATGCATTGAAGATGGCAAAATAAAGTGTACACAGTACTGGCCCGATGGAATGACGTCGACATTCGAATCAGAGAAGTGCACTGTGGAAGTGAGGAAGGAGAGTGAAGAGAACTTCGGTAGCGTCATACGTCGTGAGTTGAAAATACATCCCTCGAGCGAGGCGTCGGTAGGTGGTGCTTTCTCACGAGCCACACTAAGTGATGTGTTGCTTGGTTACGTGAGTTATTCCGTTTCAACCCTCTAGCCGTGGACCGTCACCCAGTTCCACTTCACGGGTTGGGTTGACAACGATGCGCCGAATGTGGAATCGTTCTACAACCTTGTCGTTATGCAAAATGACTTCTTGGCGACACACCCAATGGGAGTTAAGTGCGGTCCGACGGTTGTACACTGCAGGTGAGACAAACGTCTGCCTAACTGGATCACTTCTTCAAACGGTGCTTTGTGTTAACAACGTGCACAGAAGACTGAATGTAGACTGAGGTAGACACGAGAGTGTTCGGCAACGCTTACCAAGTGGGTACAATGATGGCTAAAAGCCTCTGTATCTACTTTCAGTGCTGGTGTCGGTCGAACGGGCACGTTTATGGCAGCTCGCTTTCTCCTTGATCGTCTGCGAACGAATCCACAGAATGTGGACATCGTTGGGACCGTTCTGGCGATGCGAAAGTGGCGTGCCAACTTGGTGCAAGTTTGGGTGCGTTATCTCCCTCCACTCCACCTTCGTGTTGCACGTTTGTCTACGTTCTCTTATTCCCCATTCGCTACTGCACTTTTAGTCACAATTACAATTCCTCTACAACTTCATTGACTTCTGCCTTGGCAAGGAGAATCTTGGCGTGAAACCAATCGCACCAGGACCAAAGGCATTACCAGCTGCACCGTGTAAGGAGAAAGTTCAAGTAATCTCCGACCCCTTTCAAATGTCTGCAATGTGCCAGCAGTAGGTCAGGTCCCACTGACTACATTTTAGGAAGTAGTGACCCGCTTTGAAGACGTGGTTATTCCTGTAAAGAGACCATGCAGTTGCTTTAGCCATAATTATATTCTGCTTTGTCACATTTGGGGAGTTTCAGAATATTGAGGAGCATTCTCAGTTGAATGGAGTGAAATGTAAGTCAATTTGAAAATGCCTTTTGAATGAAGTAGGTCCTTGTGACCGTTTACGCATTTTGGATGTCTGGAATCTGAGACCACTGGGCTAGATATCACTGGCTGGACGTCGGCAAAGATTGTCTTGTTTAGCAGATGCTGTGATGCCTGTATAGAAGCTGGCCGATTTCATTAGCCACACTTTTGCTCAACATTCAGCATCCTTTCTTTCCACAGCTGCTGAATATAAGAATGTTGTAGAAGATCCGCAGGTAAATGCAATGAAATGTAAGTCGGTGCTGAATGGGTCTATCAGTTGGAGAATGGTTCGGTAATCTCTTGCGCCTATTGTATGCCTGAAATATGATAGCAGTAGGCTGAAACTGCCTGGCTAGGTTTTAGCAAATATAGACTATCTTATCAGGTGTTGTGATTCTTGTAATGGAACTAGCCACTTCCATTGACCCAAGCTTTACTCAACATTCAGCATCCCTCCTTTCCACAGCTGCTGAATATGCGAATTATGGAGGAGGTGGCCAGTTAACTGCAGTGAAAAGTAAGTCAACGCTGAAAGTGCTTTTGATTGAGGAAGGTGCCAGTATCCCCTTAATTGTTTTGAATGTCCGAAATGCGAAAGCAGTAGTTTGCATTTCAGCAAGCAGGTTTTGGCACAGTGACCGGTTTGTCAATTGTTATTGTTCGTGTGGGAGAACTAGCTGATTCCGATAATCCCGGCTTTGCTCTTCACTCAACATGTTTCTGTCTTTCAGCTACCAAGTACCAGAATGCTATGAAGCATCCTCAGCTAGGTACAGTGGATTGAATGGTGGCATTGAAACTGCTTTTTGATTGGAAGTACTGCAGGTGTATTGCTTTGAAGATGGGAACACCTCACACTGGTTGTCCATTACTTCCAAGTTCCATGTGCTGCGACCTCAATTGCTTGATACTATTTAGGAAATTAATTCCTCAAAAATGCAAAGAGAGTGAGGAACCTTTCACGTGTTTCATTTTAGCCTACATTTTGTAATTTGCAAATCTTTGTGCCCCTCTTTCTTAGATATTTTGTGCATTTGTTCATTTTGTTGCTTTTAGATGGTGAATATGCAAACAATTCAAGGCAGCCTAGGTCAGCGGCAAGAAGAGGTGAGGCCATCTATCGTCTGCAGTGCATGTTTAAATATCGCATTTATGCATATCAGCCACATTACCTGACACAATGCTTTTGTGTTGTGTGATGTCAGTTGAACCTTCACATGATTGCAGTCGTCTGTAATGCCCGCGTCGTCTCTGAAGATGTGATATGCCACATTGGCATTTTATGTAAGCATGGTCTGCAAGTCTTTTGGCCTGGAGAGATTGAAAGTCACTAGAAATGAGGTGAAAGCTGAGGCACCAAGATTGTTTCTGTAATCAAGTGCGCTGTTGAAATATGTTACAGTGTTGCTCTTCTTTCTATCTCATGCATCGTCGTCCCTTCTCAACCTCATCTTTATTCTCAATGCTGCGTATGGGAAGAGGGTCTTTGAATGTCTATGTTCATACCGCATTAATGCAGTCGATTTTTGCACATTTTTGTTTTCTTTTGCGATGCAGTGAGGGAAAGGAGGTTGCTAAATTACCCTGCTGAGGGCTACACTTGGTCTAGCTTCGCACAATACATATCAAGTGTCTACCTCTTCTTACCACTTCGTTCTCACTTCATCTTTGCTCCCTTACCTGACCGGGGGTCTGTTCTTCTCCCTACTTAATGCACGCACCCTCACATAATTACCACAGAAGCTTTATGATGTCCGGTTTTGAACTCTCAAAGTGTGGTGTCGCTATGTTTCTTAATTATCCTGTTTTGCAGAACATGACAGTGGGGAGGCTGCCATAGGTATACACGGTTCCAAAAGATAAATCCTTAATAATTAATTCTCGCATATCCAACCATCCGAAGCATTCGCCTTCTTCTATGATATTTAATTTTCTTATCCAGTGTTGCTTTGGAGACCGGTGTACTCACGGACCAAGCTCCCATACCCCTACGGACATAGTAGCACTCCATTAGGGCGTGTCTGGATGTTTCAGATCAGAAAATTCGCGCAGAAATGTTCAGTTAAACGATTTTAGTTGTTTTGCCGATTGTTGCCATCCTTATCAGTAGGGTGAACTTGATCAGCGTTTTGAAGACATGCGGTAGATTATAATTTTTGAAAAACGATTAGGTCATGTGCTGTCTTTATTTTTAGGTGATGGTCCTTCTGTACCAGAAAGAGCAAGTGAGTGATTCCTTATGGAATAAAGCCATTTATTATTCATAACTGGGATGTCTAACTGCACACAAATGTGGTGTAAGGATCAAATGACTCTATGATTTGAAGGTCCGTATTAATTTTGTGTCACAGACCAAAATAAATGTTTGTCTTCTCCGCCTGATTAGTTGTAACACCGAATAGGCAAGTTGAAGACCGAATTAATT